AAACGCTGCAATGTTAATTTCTCATCTTATGTCTTGTTCACGGATGAGGCCATATTCAATAGGGATGGCATATTCAATCACCACAATTAACATTTGTGGGGTCAACAAAAACCCCACAACAATACGGGTAATATGTGGGCGGGTTTGGTCAGCGACTGCGTAGTCGAGCCGTACCTTTTACCTTCCAGGTTGAATTTCTTGAATTATCTGAACGATGTTCCACCATATGTTAGGCGCAACATGTGGTTCCAACATGATGGGGTGCCTGCTCATTTTGGACTGAATGTTTGTAGCCATTTGAACAGATCATTCCAGCATCGATGGATTGGGCGTGAACCGGCCCCCCACAATCACCGGATTTATAGAGCTCTGATTTCTTTTTTAGGGAAGCCGTCAAAGTGTCATGTGTCACGATCCTGTTCTGTCTGAAATGGATCCCGTGGTAAGACTCACCTGCGCAGCTGCTACAATCAAAGAAAATCTCGGTGTTTGAACATGTCTGACAATCAATGGTCTGTTGGTGTTAGGTGGCATCTGATGTGCAAACTTCGAGCATCTGTTATAACATTCAAGCTGTGGTACACCATTTGTATTCATGTCCAATAAATGTTTCAAATTAATCACTCTGTTGTTTCCTTTCCCATCTTCTACCTCTGCTACCACTAACCCCTGACATTTCCGACCATGGGTTCCTATGCAATTTTTAATCCTTATGGTGTGCCCTACCTGCCCCAGAAGTTTGTCGCAACATTTACGGGACACTTTTTTATTAAGTTCAATCAAATGAAAAGGAATAGCAAACAGATTTGAGCTCTAAATATTGGGAATTTTATTTGCCAAATTAAAAGCAGAAAATATTTTGAAAGAAAATAAGAATTTTCCACTCCTGTAGCACGAGCACCTGAACAAGTTCACCTGGACCGATGGTCTAAGCAAACCAGTTCTGTAAACTTCAGACATATTCTTCATACATAGTTATCTCAGACTATAAACTTTGGAAATCTTTACAAAATTTCACCAAATGACTGAAAGTTTTTTTAAAAAATCAGAAATCTCCTTCAATAGTTTTTTTACACTCGAACTCGAAGATGGGATCTTCAGCCTATATGACAGACAACAACAGGTACATAATATTGAGGAATAAAGACATGTATCATATCACTATACATGTTCCTTCAAACAATGTTTACTGACACAAACTTCCAAGCAATATATTTTCCCTTTAAAATCTGTTTCCTTGTAACTGAATATCAATGTTTATTCACATTTAAGATATTTATAAAAAGGCATTACTTAAAATGTCAAATGATACGAATAAGTAATGGAGACACAGAAGAATAATCAATCAATGTGTTGTAACATTATAATGAAAAATACAGATTATTTCTCTATGTGTAAAAACTTTAATGAGATTATAATGCCACAGTTTTTTAACAATAAATTCTAATACACTTACCTTCATCACGAAATCCAATTCCACTATCACTGTTGCTACTATTGCTGCTAGTATTGCTAGGCTGAGGGGACATATTCACATGAAATTCTAAGCCATGCACAAATTCATTATTGAAACCCAATTTACTTCTATATAGACCAACAACAGCTTGTAGAATACTATCAGCAGACTCAGGGAACTCTTTACATTTATTAGTAACAGGATCAGATGTACAAGTTATGTGAAAAGCTTTGGCTCTTTTCATGTGTTGATGATGGGGTGTTAACTTAGGATCAACCATAAATACATGGCAAGAACTGCTGACAGAGCCAGGGTCTTCTTGACTTCCCTCACTAAGTTCATCACTACTAATACCATGATTTGTAACAAGACCAAAAAATTTCTTATCATCACTATAAACTCCACTGAAAGTTATTTTATCAGCAGAAAATTCAGCTAAAGTGACACCTTGAGGATTGATAAGAATAATACTTTCAGGAAACACTGACATTAATACAAGAGTATGGACCTTTTTTTCAACACGCAGTCGACGAATACAGTTACGAATTGTTTGTAGCCTTGAATTAGGAAGCTGTGGTTCTTTTGGCATTTCTATTGTCCCTAGATAACCAACAACAGCTTTTAAAACAGCTTGTTCTTCATTACCTTTCTGTTCTTCATTATTCTGGGATGAAAACAGAGCAGGGTATAATATATTATTCAAATCTTGTTCTGTAAATATTGAATGAAATACTTCATCAGCAGAAGCAGAAGTATTTAAGTGCTCAGGATGACTACGAGATTTTATTACTTTGTTTTCTTTCTTTTTAGGGCACACTTGCTTTATTTTCTCAGATGAAGAAACTGAAGGGACACATGTAGTCTGCTGAAGAGGAATATTCTGCAAAGAATGTCTGTTACTAGCATCTTGAATCCTCTGCTGTAAAATCAAATCTAATAACAGTTTATTTGATCGGCTGGATGCAGCTAAACCCACAGACTGGCCTTTAGAATTACGCTGTTTTTGAGAAATTTCAACAACACTACTACCATGAATATGGTCAACAAACAAAGCACCAGTCTGCAAGTCTTGAACAACTTTTTCAGCCCGAGAAACACTGCTCTGATGTTGCCTATTACGAACTTTATTAGGATACTTTGGCCGCAGTTTCACAATAGATATAAATTCTTCCTCAGAAGAATCTGAATAATAGTTTTCAGCAATCTGAAGCTTTAAAACTCCATTTGAATTGCCTATAAGTCTAACAACATCATCATGAGGTGCCTTTGATACATTCTGTCCATTAACAGCAATTAAAAAATCCCCAGGTCGAAGGCCAGCTTTTTCTGCAGGACTACCTGTTATAATGCAACTGAGAATACAAGGAGCTTGACCAGAAATAGTGAATCCAAACCCATTTTTTCCTCTGGATATTTCCACAGTTCTTACACCATAACTTGGTCTCTTTTTCCGCCGTCTATGCTGATGCATTTTCAACAACAGCACTTAAATGCTGCACTTAAGATGGCCTACAAAAGTCAAATAAAAAATAATTTAGCAAAAAGAAAAACAGTCTCAATAAAAATTCAGTATCTAAAAAACTACTTAATTGAACTTTAAAAGCAAAAGAACCATAATCATAAAAACTCAAAAATGTTAAATAATACAGTACAAAGTCTGTAATCCGGACGTCTATTATCCGGAATAATCTATAATCTGGACCTCAAAGCCACAAGCTTTTTTTTTTTTGTATGTTTAACGCATGCACGTTTAATGCTACGCATACGTGTTTAATGTTTACGCATGCACATTTAGCACAAAAAACGAAGCAACTTAAACAACTTACTTGAAAGAAATGTTTAATAAAGTAAACAAATAAATATTAAGCTTTTTTTTTTTTTTTTTTTTTTTTTTTTTTTTTTTTTTTTGTAAATTTTGATACCCTTTAGATCATAATTGCTCTTTATTTCATAAATTACGGTTTCATATTTTTAATTGCACAATTTCTGCATGCCATCTTACCAGATTTAAATTGATGACCTATAATCCGGAAAAACTCTTAATCCGGAATCGCCAAAGTCACGATGAGTCTGGATTACGGATTTGGTACTGTACAGAAACCTCATATTTACAAAAAAATATTTTTCCAAGCAATAAAGTATTTCATGTTAAGAATTACTACTAGTTATTTTAAAACTGTGCAAACATACTGTTAAAACAATACTCAGCTGATTCTATTGAAAGGGCTTACAACATAAAGAACTATTTTTTCAACCAATAAATCTGAAGAACTTTTCACCACATTAACCATCGACAGAAAAGTATATATTTTTTTACTCTCACTTGGTAAAAGCTCCCGGTTCTGCATTAATCAACCAATTAGCTGTCTACATCATGATTTTCTTCAGTATCTAAAACATGTTAACCTGATAGCTACGACTGGTTTTCCTATGCTGGAAGCTTTGTAACAACTGATAGAAATTAACACTTTTCACTATATTATAAATAACGGCAGAAAACCATTAAAAAATTGTCTCAATGCATACCTGCCAACCTCTAAAGATTAAAATTCAGAAGAACATGAAGAATTAATATCATGCTTTGATATTAAAAAAATAACAATTTATACAAATAGAAAAAAGAAAATTGTGCTTACATTAGTAAATCTCAATTAAGTAGTAACTAAAAAATTTATTAGGAAACATAAAACAAGAACTTAATGCTACACAAAAAATTATTGCAATGAATTTAGAGTGCATTTTTTGGCTTTAGCCAAAAATCTTTAAAAAATTTCCTGTCATAACAATTAGTTTCCTCATAATTTAGCAATTAAAATGTATTCTAGAGTTTTGGTGAAATTGAAGAACGAAATATAGTTTGTTTTCTTCACAACACTGAAAGACTCTCGCACTCAGCATTACTGTGTGGAATTACGACAATAGCACATAAAACTCTTGCTAGTGTATCATATTTTGGTGTTCCATCAGCTCTTTTTATTCTTTTTAAGGTACCAACGAGGACATCAAGTCTATCTTCTCCAGAACTGGCAAGTCTTCAAACTGCAGCAGAAAATTGGTTCTGTAGTACACCTAAAGCATCATTATGGCATTATTTTCTTTAATTGTTAACAAAAATGGAAATTTATCAATAAAAAAAAAACGAATCTTTACAAAAGATGAATTTTCAATTTGTTTCAAATTTGCCACTTCAGCATTTAAAAGAACTCATTTGCAAAGGAAAACTTCCTTACAATGTAATCACAGGCTGAGGGAAAAGTACTTTCTAACACATTGAAAAAATTCTTTTTTCTCATGATCTTTCAAAGAATTTACAAGCTCCCTGGTTTGATTTCCAAATTATAAGATCATTGCCATCCGTTTGATTTGCCAAACTATTATAGGCAATATAAAATCAACACACTGTTTTTCACAACGGACGGCTTTACAAACTTAGTTAAAAGTTCTTTCAAAAGATCATTAAGAATTTGGATACAGCAGGGCAGATTTTGGCGAAGCTGATTGTAGAAGGCGTATTTAACACTTTCAAAAATCTTAATGGTACTTAACACAAATCTGCAATATGCTTTGTTCAAATCCGAAGAAAGAAGATAGAAAATCCTTTCCTCTCGGCTAATAGAAGACTGTTTCTTCCCTTCAACTTCTTTAACAAAGTTGACCTTTGAGGAGTCTTCTAATATGTTCAATGAGGAATGCAGTAAACAAACACTCTGCCAAAATGACATCGGCATCCGAATTCGTAGCCAAATTTGAAAAAAAATCATCCACTTTCTTTGACATTGTCAAATGCCGAAGCATTAGACGTTGTCGAAGTTAGCACTTAACATGCTTCACAATGGCGACTTCTTCCACCGTGACTTATTATGAAGTCACACACGCACACGTTGCAAAATGCATAGTTATTTCCTTTGAAGGATTCTTTAATTGTTGGAAATTCGGCTTTGTAGGCAGGCCGGAAATATTGAGAATACGGTTTTTTTGAACTTATTTTCGTAACAACGACGTATTAAGAAAATTCGTAGCACGTGCAAACAAAAACAAAAAACAAACAAAAAAACAGAATGCGACAATCCTATGCTCACTGAGTTCCGAGCTGAGTAATTCCCTTGCTGCTGAAGCAAACGCGAAAAAAAATAATCTGGCGCCCACAAAGAAAAGAGTGGGAGAGAAACAAGTTCAGCGCATTGGATTGGCTGGTTAAGCGGCGAGTTGGGAGAAACCGCAGGTTACTGGATTCGTCGAAGTAGTCGGTAGCTGGCGGTAAAACACGATGCAATTTGCAAAAAATTCTAAAATTTCAACAAAAATCACTAAAAACACTTGATAAAGGTAAAAAATGGATTACGATCGTAAAATCGTAAAAACAAACGCATTTTCATAAAAATTACAAAAAATTCGTAAAAGTTGGCAGGTATGCTCAATGAAATGGATTCAACTATCTTTAAGACTGCTAAAAAATGAAAAAATGTAATTTTACATAAAAAATAATGCTGCGCAGACGGTATAGTGGTTAGGGAAGCCTGACTGCGCTACCAAAGGGCTCAAGCTCGAATCCTGGAGTATGCAATGATGTAAAATTGTCTGTCCCTTCATAGGAGGTAACGTGGCCATGGGGGTGTGGGGGGGGGGGGGGTGGGGGGGGGGGGGGGGGGGGGGGTGGGGGTGGGGGGGGGGGGGGGGGGGGGTGGGGGGGGGGGTGGGGGCGGGGGGGGGGGGGGTGGGGGGGGGGGGGGGGGGTGGGGGGGGCTGGGGGGGGGGGGTGGGGGGGGGGGGTGGGGGGGTTGGCCACATTAAGTGCCTCCACAATAAAAATGGGCACCGCTTCTGGCCTTAGTAATGGCCAATGCCATTATGAGCAAGTGCCCAGCATTTGTTAAATAATAATAATAATAATAACACATTCCATATTTTTTCTCATATTTTGTATATATAGCCATTTGAAACACTAACACATAGGTAGACTTCGGGTTGCGAACAAGATACTGAGGGCCCACAAGTGGCTAAGCAGTAAAATTACTAACATTGTTAATTTGATCAGGGCTGGAATCCCAGGAAACAGGCTTGCTGCATAAATGTTTCCCTGGTTTTCACCTTGTGTAATGTGGAGATAAGCTATTACAAAGGTCTTTCATGAAGATATTCCTCCTCTTAGGCAGATATCTCTTGTACACTTTGCCAGAGTCAAATAAACCAAATCAAACAAGATATAGTTGCAAAAACTTGTCTATATCAGATTTGAATATAACTTTAATATCTGGTGAACAATGTATATGCAATAACAAATGAGGTAATAGTATCAAAGTATCATACTGTAATAATATCTTTGTATTGAAGTAATATCTAGAAAAATTTATACATATAGTCTTTTAATTCTAAGAACTAAATCAAAAAACCAATTTTATACAGAGTTCAGAAATGACAATTTTTTTTAATTAGTTTTAAACTAAAATTCTCACAATGTCTAATATACACGGAGTGGCATTTTTCAGCCAAAAAGGAAAGTTAAAATTAATTAGATGATCACATCAGAAAGGGTGCAATGCATGTTTGAGAATCAAATTTTAATTCACTTTGGAAACATGATCATGAGTATGTACAGATTCACAGAACTGAATAAAAATGTTAAACAATTAGAAATTAGACAAGCTAACTCATAGATGCAGTATCACATCATGCAGGTTTGTTAGCTTGTATACAGTATGCACTATTTTTTGTACATATTAATTCAGTAATTTATTCATATACAGCTTTTACAAGCAACTTTAAAGCCCATAAAGCCTTAAAGCCAAAATTTAAAAAAAAAAAAAAGTTACAATTACACTACCAAATGGCAACTTTTTAAATTTTAAAAATGCAATTAAGAAAATTAAGAATTTGTTGCCAGGCTGACTAACTCACGTGCCAAAATTCTAAAACACACAAATAAATAAAAAGTGAAAGATACTTATTTTAGGTTTAAAATGCACAAACAATAACTTAAAATGAAAGAATGACAAAAGCTGATGGAAATTTAAACCTATGGAAAATTAGGCTAGACTATAGATTCTGAAAGATGTTTCATATATGTTTCATTTCTACTTTAAATGATAAATAAAGCTTTTTAAAAGCAGTCCAGGGTCTTCCACCCCTCTTCCCTTATCATTAACAACTTGATAACAATTTCAGCTCAATTTGAGCAATATCAGCATTTTGAGTATCCCCATGCTGTACTGACATTATACGCTTACAAACATCCATATCTTCTCCAGGATTCAAACTCAAGCCTAATGACACAGCAGCCAGCAGCACTAACCACGAGACCAATTATGAGGATACAGACAAGGTATAGTTGAAAAAACAAAAAGATGAAAGCAGTCATCTACTTTAAAACAGCTTTAATTAGCAAACTGAAATGAATTACAAGTTTCAGAGATGCTTGCCCACCAGCAGCTAAGCAATAAAACTGGTAACTATGGACTGAGCATACAGCACAGATGAGATATAAGTGGGACAGGACAAAAGAAATTTCACCAATAATTGTGTAGATGTAGTCTTGCTGCACTCTGTTTTGAATGAAGAACATACCAGGAGGCAGTCCGGGATCTTTCACGCCTCTTCCCTTATCATTAACCACTTGAAAACAATTTCAACTCAATTTGAGCAATATCAGCATTTTGAGTATCCCCATGCTGCACTGATATTATACACTTTCAAACATCCATATCTTCTCTAGGACTCGAACTCAAGCCTAATGAAACAGTAGCCAGCAGCACTAACCACAAGACCAATTACGAGGATACAGACGAGGTACAGTTGAAAAAGCTTTAATTAGCAAACTGAAATGAATTACAAGTTTCAGAGATGCATGCCTACCAGCAGTCAAGCAATAAAACTGGTAAACTGGTTAACACATGCACTTGGATGCACTCACTGAAATGAACTGATGTATAGGAATTTTCATGGATTTCTCCCACCAGTAACATAAATGAGAGCCAGTTTCTCCAATTTTTTTTAATCACTAGACTTTCTTTATAAAGCTTTCTCCAAATATATAATATATATATATATATATATATATATATATATAAAAAGGTTCAAAATTTTTACTAGCCTATATTTATTTTAGACACACAATTAGTTGTTTTTTTTTTTTTTTTTTTTTTTTGTTTGTTTGCTTGTTTGTTTTGTTTTGTTTGTCTTAGACTATAATTTTGCAACCTTTCTTTACAATCCCATGGCATATAACTTCAGACTGGTTTTTTCGAGATTGAATATTTATCAAAACATCTATGAAACATCAAAAGTGCTACTTGATTAGTCAGCCTTTTCATTTAATGTGAGATAGATTTCTTCTAATATTTTATCAAATTTATTTTCCTTGACTCCCATATTCTTTTAAAATCTCAAAAATCAAATTTTTCTTTTTAACATCCCATTAGCATATGGTTTGTTAATTTCACATGTATAATCTTGAAAGAACAAACATACAGTCACATTGTGTGCTTTCCTATCACCAAATAAAGGCATAACGTAGAATTAAAAATCTAATCCAATGTCACCTTATACTTAGATTTTAGTACCTTGCCCGCCTTTAAAAAAGTTTACATTTAGGTGAAAATATATATACATATATATACACCAGGCAACTTAATTTTAGCATAAACTTTTTTTTTTTTTTTTAACCTAAGCCGACCAAAAGAAAAGAGTTCGAAGAGAACACGGAGCCTGACAGATAGTTTCCTTTGATTACTTTTTTGCTTATTTACTTGTGCTTATTGCAAGAAATTAGCTATTTTATTATAGCTGCTTCTTTTCTAAGTGTTATTTTTTAATGAATCAATTTAGAATTCAAGCAAATGCTGATTTCAGTTTTGTTCAAAAAAAGAGGATGTGTTTTCAATAATGAATTTAAATTACTAAAAATGAAAAGAATATAACAAAAAAAAAACTGAAGCATATAACGTTGAAAAATGAACAGCTAATTTGACATAAATACCAAAAATACACAAATCCAACTATATTTTGTAATACATTGCTACAATGGTCATTAAATTTAAAGGATAATGAGAAAAATATGCTAATTAAGTTAAATATTGCAAACAATGCCCAATGCTGTAATATTTATGTTAATTAAATACAATTGAACACAAAATTGTACTTTCGTGCATATGTTAGCCCTGGAAATATGCAAATTCAGTGATTGACAATGGATGCATATCGGAATTCCAGTTTGTAGAGTCTTTTAAGTGAATGTGGTTTCTAAGCGTGATCAGTGTTCAATAGTTATGGCTGAAAGAAATCATTTAAGAGAAGGTCAAACATGGTGAATAATTCATTTGTAGAATCGAGGGAGGTCAAACACAAATGGAAATTGCCCAAGATTTGAATATCCCTCAAAGTGTCATATCAAGAATTTTGATTCACTTCCCTTTCAAAAATATGCTCCCCTCTCTATTTGATAAACAAATCAAAACGTTTTGCACAGTTCAGACAAAACCGAAACTTTCTTGCCTTCAACAAGCAAAACAAGTGTACAGTTTAGAAATTCAGGAAAGTGGGAGACGCAGCTATCTGCCAACCTATGACCCAAGCGTGTAGGAACCTGGGAAAGAAGATCACTGGCCTTTTAGCTGTACAATCCTTTTAACTAGCTTTATAAGAAATTTAGCGCATTCCATAGAAAATTGTGTTTAAATGATAATATATTAAATGCATTAATAATTAGTTCACTAATATTAAATTCATAAATTCTTTAAGCACTATGAATTAATACAGATTCGAACCCCACTCTGAACTACCCATGTTCAGTAACAATATTTGGCCACTGGTGGGGGCCCTGGGCAGCCAAGCATCTGAATAAGATTTTTCACTTTTATCAAATCTTCTGCTGTCATTCATGTAACGTTCATATATATATTTTACAGCTATTAAATTTCCTTCCATGGCACAACCTGAGATTCCTCCAGTGCAAGTACAGTCAAAAGTCGTTAATCCGGACTCGTTGGGACTTCGGCAATTCCGGATTATCGATTTTTCCGGATTATAGATCATCAGTTTAAATCTGATAAATGGCATGAAGAAATTATAAAATTAAAAATATGAAACCGTAATTTACGAAATAAAGAACAATTATGATCTAAAGTGTATCAAAATTTACAAAAAAAAAAAAAAAAAAGCTTAATATTTATTTGTTTACTTTATTAAACATTTCTTTCAATGTAAGTTGTTTAAGTTGCTTTGTTTTTTATGTGATAATACATTCTCTTTAATTCTATAAACATACGTAATTTCTTGTTCAGTTACAAAGTTCTGCTGTTCAAGCCCTATAATTGCTGTGTCGAGAATACCGACTAATTTGTCAATCAAAATTCTTTCGTTTTCAATAACCTCTGTCACTTTCTTCGCTATCGGAAGCAAATTATAATGACGAGGCATTTGATTTAAATTATATCAAAGACGGAGTATATCGAAATTAAATACTACATTTAGTAAGCAATTATAAGCCAAATAAAATAAAAACATCCGCCCTGAAGATAAGGATAGTGCTGACAGATCAACTTCATTGCATTCAACAACATTGTGCGCGGCGTTAAAGATAAACAAAGTTTAGATAAACAAAGGATATGCCTTTATCCATTTTTTGCAGCAATTCCACTTTTTGTTTAATGGACTCCAAAACATACTTTTGCTTTGCAGATCCGTACATATTAGTAAATATAAATCGGAAATTCTATTTGACATAATCGAAAGTTCAAGCTTACTTTTATAAAATTGCTCTAACAGTCTGCAAAAATAATAACCGGATCCAATTCGAGATTAAGGAACAACGCAATCTGCAACATTAACTGAAATAGATAATTAGAGCTTAGCTTATACCATCTGTTATACATTAAACGCGCATTTGTAAACGTATTTTGCTCACGCGCACACTAAAATTTGTAGCCGTAAAGGTTTTACGCGCATGCGTCAACGCGACGCACGCGCAGAAAGTTTGTAGCTTTGAGGTCCGGATTATAGATCATTCCGGATTATGGGTGTCCGAATTAACGACTTTTGACAGTTTCATTTTTGAAAAATGGATTACAAAACTCACTTTTTCCCTTTTTATTTTCTTTCATTGGCGTAGAATACTTAGCTCCATTTAAGATTCTAAATAACAAACTTTAAAAAATACTATTAATTCACAAAATAAAGTTTTAAAAAAAGAAACACTTTAATAACTTATCACTGGCAGGTTTTTAATTTGGCAATGACTGGGAAACACTTGCGAATCATGGATAGATAGTAGAAGTAGGTGCAGTACAGCACTGCACAGAACTATCAGTGATCAGTTGTCAGTATCACATACAGCACTGCAGAACTCTGCAAAAAAGAAATTCATCTATACAGATGACTTGTAGACATTTTCTCTCCTGAAATATTTCTAGCTGTAAAATAATTAACTAGATAGCAACTACAAAGACCTAGTCGCCCCTAATTTCCCCTGATGAATCAATGTAAATGCACCTTACATAAAGCTGTTTTGCTAATGGTGAAGTTTCTCTGATGTTTGCATATAGCTACACTGCTTTAAATTGGCATCTTGCATTATTTATTTTGTTTCTTTCATCATTTCCATATCACTAAAATATTTAAAATTTAGAAAAATTCTTCAAAAAAAAAGTTTTACAAATTTACTACCTTAAATCTGGACCCATTTGGCTGAGCCAAAATCTGGCCATGTACAATATACAGAAGAAATAACTGAAACAACAACTGTGCACATAAAATCTGTACGTAATTTTTAATGCAGATCCATATCACATTTTATATTCTTGCAATAGGGTTGTACTTTTTTCCATAATGTAATTTGAAACCCTTGCCCTTTTGGGTAAACTGCAATATTTTTTCTGTTATTTTATCTCCCTTCCAATGAAACTTGTCCAACAATAAACTCATTTATTTCTGAACTCAACACTTCTAATTTATTTTAAGAAAAATTTAGTGTTCAATTTTAATTTCATTCATAAGATTTCTCATATGTCATTACTTACATATACAAATTTTAAAACAGCTTAAAAATAAAGTCTATGTTGGCAACTATAGTTTAAATTTTATGAATTAAAATACAAATAAGAAATTATGCTGATATACAACAGTAAAACATACAAACTGAAATCTAACAACATCCATACATTACAAACAATATTTAAGAAATATAGAATTTTTAAACTTTCAGTACACATAACATGAATAAAATTTACCTCTGTTCGATGCAGGTGCTGACACATTACATTTTCACACTGAAAATCTGGGCCACAGTAAACATCTTAGCTGATACAAAACTTTTCACTATTTCCCAGATCCTCATCTCGGACTTTTTTAATAGCGAGTACTCCCTAGTCTTTCTGAAAGAAAATAATGTAATATGAAATTTATGTAATAATTTAAAATTACAAAGATATTGTACAAAAGTTGTTTACAAACTGCCTGAACACAATAAGACCATGCTACAGAAGCGTCTTATTTATAACAAGAACAAACTGAGTTGGATATGTAAATACTTTCATAGCTTGAGAATGCCACTAGAATAATCCACTGACAGGAAAATTTAAAAAGACAATTATAAGGTGCCTTCTATTAATTAAGTCTGCTAAAAGGTGATTGATAGGGGCTTTAAATTCAAAGCTTGCACAAGTAGCTGGATAAAATATTCGCATGTGGAAAACAGAACATGTTGTTGAGAAGGCTTGGTGGTGCAGGTATTTTATGGCACAAATCTTCTTGGTCATGATGCACTAAGCATACAAATACGGTATATGGGGAGCTATAAAAGGTATATGCCATGATAAAAAAGTACTTGATATAAAGGTACTTTCCAACTTCACACACAGCAACCCGTCATTTCTTTGTGATCCCATTGCTGCTGCCATTTTTGAAAAATTTCCTGCTTCACTTATTTTACGATAATAGCAAATCTAGTAAGTCTATTTCATAGTATAGTAAGTTTATTTCAGAGATTATTCCTCAGGACAAGTTCAGAATGTTATGTGGCATAACTTCCAACGTTGGCTTAACTCCACACTACAACTCGCGATGCACTCGACGACACACAGAGCACTGCTCCCGACTCTTCAGGGCCCACCAGCGGCCGAGCAGTAAAGTCGCTAAACACTGGTACTTCGGTCCGAGGTTTGAATCCTGCGAAAGGGCTGGCTGAATGGGCGTTTTTGTGGTTTTCCCCATGTGTAACGTGTATACGAGCCAGTTTCCCTTAGAAAGTCCTCCACGAAGGCATCCCTTCCCTTAGGCAGATAGCCCTAGTGTGCTTTGCCATAATTAAATACACCACCACCGACTCTTCGGTTCAGTTGTTCCCGGAGCTCAACACGCTCTCTCGATGATGCACTAACTGCTATACACTAAGAGACTCCTTCGATGAACTCAATGACCCACTCGGCACTCGCTGCCCGGCTGTCAACTCGATCGACTCCACAGGGATTGACTCGCTAGACACGACAACTCGATACTGACAATCAGCTCGCTAGCCGAGGCACCTACACTCGCCCTCTCGCGAGGCACTCTAACTGACTGTGGACCAGCAGGGTTTATATAGCTTTCGGCTGGTGTTCGAGAACATTCTGGGCTAAACCAGAAAGAATTCGTTAAAAAATGTTCTCCATCCGTCCATGGCATATCGCCAATTTTGTCGCCAAATGGGCAATTTCTCGCCAAATGTGGTAACTTTGCCTTATTTTGCCATTTTATGGTAATCCTAAAACTGCTTTGCGAGGAAGCCATCTTACAGTGCCTGGACATTTTGTAACAATACCCTGACGCCTCATCGGTTAATCAGCAACAGATCAAATCTGCATGACCAAAAAGCAAAAACATTATGCTAACAATAATGATGATCTAAATGATGATGACAATGATCTTCTAGGCGTTCTATTTGCTTTTCCACATGTGTTAAGAGGCTATCACTTCTAGGAACGCGCGGCTATGCGGGACAATTCCAAGAAACGAAATTCTAGTAGCACTGCTTTAAGCGGGAGGCTTCCGAGAAATGTTTCGTCTAGCTAGAAGGAACATGTCCTGGCTTCGAGCAACATTTTAAAACATTTCCGAAAATGTTCCGGCTGAAGACATGTTCCTCGAACGTTCAACCAATCAGACAAAAGTCTGCTTCTGAAGGATCACGGGTAACTTTCAATATGGCGATGGCTCTCACTGTGAAGTCATGGATGGTGGAAATAGAGGACGATTTAATTATTGCTCTTTTGTTGTAATATAACTGCCCAAGTCATTTTTAAAATGTTAATATATTCATTAAATATATAATCGTGGAAATTTCAGAGTTGACAGTATTTTACGACGTTCTTGCAGTTCAGATTTGTTTACAAATTGTTCGTCGCCAAAAGTTTGCCAAATTTGTCATATTTCATGCTGATCGTGTATTATCACTTTTATACAATAGAATTTTATTTCTTAAATTTAAGTTGAATAATTTTTTTAAATCCTTTTGTATATGCGCAGCTTTTCTCCTAATTACTTATCTTTTAAATTGTTAATTGCAAAATCAGTGACACATTTTAAATAGCATAAAAAAGAAAAGCATAGCTTATGTAATAATGAGAATACTCATTAAATTTGTCTATTATTTTCATGTTATTAATGAAATACTTTTTGGATTATAAATACATTAGAAACTATACTTTTACTGTAAATGCTACATACTGAAACATTGGAAACTTATGGATTTATTATTATGCATGATGAAAAACAAATCTTATTCATTACATTAATACTAATAAATATATATTAACAGCTTCTAAACCACTGCATTTCTCTATCTGTATGTAAATATACGACTTATTAGATGTGTATATATATGTATGTATAAATACAAAAATGAACATTGCCAAAAGTTTATTTGAAGTTATTTTTAATTCATATAAGGATCATGTAACTGGCAGCAACTGTAGTCATCAGTTCTTTGCAAATTATTATTTGGATATGTAATAATCAGTTGAAAAATAACTGATGCAGCATTGCATTGAGGTACTTAAAAAGTGTACAACATTTTGTTTATTGGGTTAATTCATAATTGTATCATATGTATGATCTACGTAATATAAACATGACTAATAAATAATAAGAAATGTAACAGCTGTGCATTTATAACATTTGATTACTTCAAAATTCCACAACTGATTACCACCTTCATGTGTGTTTACATAATGAATTGTACTTTCCAATTAAGTGCACAGGCCTACTAGTGGCCGAAGCGTCATTGAACACTGGTAGTTCTGTCTCAGAATGCTACGAACAGGCTGGCTACATGGGCGTTTCTTGGTTTTCCCCAGTTGTAACTAATACATGAGCCAGTTTTAAAAAATCTTCTACAAAGGGATCCCTTGAGGCTTCTTTGCCGTAATCACATAAAACAAACTCATGATGTGCACCACCTAATTTCTAGAGTTGGTATAATTAATGTGTTTTAGGTATATTGCCGAGTGTTCTATGGGACAGTAAACAACTCGCACGTTTCATTGCTCATGTATTCATATGCTTTATTTGATCTTTATTTTGCTGAATAGTATCTGCTGGCTGCGATGATGTAAATATCAGCCATATAGATTTTTGTCATAGAAGGTCTCCTTTTTTTTTTGTGTGTGTGTGTGTGTGTGTCTGTTTATTTGTTTGAATGGAGAGAACAGTAATTATGAGCCATAAGGTTAGTCAAGAAAATGCTTTCACCAAGTCACAAATTTTCCAGTGAGCCATCAAATTTTCATTGGAATACAGACAACAGAAAATACACATAAGTAATGTCTGATAAATAGATTTATCCAGCACACGTTTTAAACTATTCTTAGTGTATACAGAATTTGGCTTTTACTGATGTAACTGATTGCTATAACCAGAAGTGTGTTTATTCGTTACTTGAAGTGCCAGAGTGGATATCAAAGTGATTAACTTGACAGCAATCACTTTTCTATTATCTTCCATTACTAACAATAAGTTTAAAACAAAAAGAGTGTGAGCGATACACAACAACATGAAGAAGCAAACGTCACTTGAAAGGAAACGTCACTTTCGCCAATCTGAGCGATAACTGATTCTTGTTTGGCTTTCAGCCTGTTTACCAAGTGAAAATGGTAACCCTATTTCGCCAAAGAGCGTTTCTCAGAACTGTTCCACCAAACGTTTTGTTCCGGGAAACGTTTTGTTCCAAACAAATATCGTATGTGATAAGGGTTTTAGTATCTCTCCTGCCCCACAGAGGATTATGTGCATGAAAATCATAAAAAAATATGTACAGTGAAGGCAGATGTTTCACAAGACCATTTAATTTGCTTTGTTTGATGCTTTTCATCTGAAAACAAGTACAATGAATAAACTGATCAGCATGCTTATATTCACCTGAAAAGCAACTGCCTGCAGGCAAGTTGTCAGCTGTAAGATATCTGAAGGATACTTGTGAGCAGTTAGCAGGCTTACACAACCATTAGCACTATCCGCATTTCTTTCCAACAAATGCCTCCAAAGCATAATTTTCTGATCAGACTCTGAGAACAATTCTTGCGCCGCTAAGCAAGCAAAATAGTTGACATCAATTAAGTTACTGATATTATCATGTTTGAGAGATTATGGCAGAAACTGTGGCAGTTCCACAATAAATAAGATAGCCATGATGAATGCTTGCACCACTGATGCTGCTGCATAGTTGGATGAGGAAAGAGATGTTGGGGTAATTCCAGTTCTTCTATTTCCCTATTCTCAGAGTCCAAGTCATCAGATAACATGCTCTCAAAGTAGTTTTGACCGATTTTGGGGTCTTGATATTTTGGATGCTAATTTTGCTTCATAATTTTCCCAGATTTAGAGAGTCTTTATTTTCAGTTTACTGCTGAACTTTGTTTCATTTTTGGTTTCAGATGAAGCACTAATTTTAAATGACATCTAAATGCTTTCTTTATGACTTGAGCTAGCACTTCTTCATGTGTTAATTGACTTTACTGATTTTGAATGTGGCTGAGTGTTATTTACTGTCTTATCTTCCGTATAGGGTAATGTCACGAATTTTGTATTTAATTAGATATTTTGAGGAGAATTATAATTAAAATTGTTGTATTTCCCTGTGCAGTACAGCGCAAGACAAATTTTGATGTTGATGTTAGCAGAGTTTGCATGATGCCATATCTCTGCAATTCTTTGATGATTTTTTTAAGTATAAACAGATTGCTGTGTATTTGGGAAGAAAAATAGAACCAAAAAATTCATAAAGATTTGCATAAAAATGTGTTTTGTTTTTTAATGTATCATGTAATATTTATTTAATAATTAAAATTTGGTATTTTAAATTAATAAAGTATGTTCCTTTTTCATATGTTGACAATGTTTG